CGGAGGTCTTCTTCGACGGCGAGCGCGAGACCGAAATCGACAGCGTACCGTCTACCCCGCCATGGAATTCAAGCGCTTATAGGCGCTCCTCAGCCAGAAGATCAGAATCTCTCCGCACCAATTCTTCATCCCCTCTCCTCGCCGGAGTCTCAGCGGTATCTTCCAGAGCTTTTATATGAGGAGTGGAGAGACTTGGGGCCCAAGCCAAATCTCAAAACGACGCGTATTGGCTTTTGTTTTGTTTTTGGATAAACTCTTTAAATTCCATGTTTTATCGCCTACTTAAAGTTGAAATTGCCTTAATTGTTGACAAATTTGCAAATATGCCATTTTAAGTTGTTTCCCATTTCAATTCCAAAAATGTCTTGAATTGGTTTTTTTTGGTTACATTTTTGCATTTTTAAAAAAGAAAAAAGGGATTTTAGTTTTTAGAACAACTCATTAGGTTCCAAAATGGACATTTACATTCCTTAAAAAAAAAAAGAGGACATTTCTATTTAGCGCTTAAAATTTAAAGCTATTAAGGCAAATTTATCAAAAAGAAAAAAGAAAAAAAACTATATTTATACATATACATGTCACACCGCATGACTTGACCGTTCACCTCGACCCATCAAATAAGTATAAATAATATATATTTTTCATTTCTTTTATTCTGCATCAAGACTAGAGGTGTTAAATGGGCCGAGCCGTCTATGCCCGTAATAGTGCCGGATTCGGCACGGCTCGGTTCACTACTGTTACGGGCCGTGCCGCCCCAACACGTGTAGTGGGCTAGGGCTGGGCCTCAGCTTTTCAGCCCGCGGCCCAAGCACGTGGAGGCTCGCGACACGGCCTTTGTTCGGCATGGCCCAAGCCCTGATTCGGCCCTTGTTCGGCCCAACTTAAGCCCCCGAAATGACCCATGAAACACCCGGGCCTGCCAGCACGGCACGTGACGGGCCTCCCGTTGGGCCCTTCACGTGCCTCCCATTTGGCACGTGACGGGCCAAACGGGAGGCCCGTCACGTGCCGCACGTTGGGCCCGCGAAGGGCCCAACAGCTAGAATCCAGAATTTCACCCCAAAATCCCCTATAAATACCCCTTAATTCTACTATAAATCTCACACAACAATTCACTCTCAACTTCTCATCTCACTTTAATTCTATCTCTCAACTTGTCTCTTTGATTTTGATTCTAAGCTTTTTTCTCGCGTTCATTCATTTTCTTGCTCTTTCATTTACAAAGTTCAATCAAGTTCTATCAAATTCCAGAAAATGGCCGCACCAAACTTCCCTGATTTCACTGCTATTCCTGAGCTTGGTGATGAGGCATTTTTTGAGGAAGAAATGATGCCTCCCCACCTCACCCCCACTAAACCAGAAAATGTTCTGGTGGATAATGTTTCAGTGCACAACGAGGAAGCTGGAGAACGCAATAGAGGAAAAAGACCGCGAACTTCTTCGTCATGGCAGCATTCACCGAGGAGCCCCAACCAAATCTAAAAACAGGTGAGATGGAAATTCGTGCGGTATGTAAATATTGTAAAAAATACTTTTCTAATAAAAATGGTGGGGGTACTGGTCATCTGGATAGACATTGGAAAGTATGTCTACTGTTGCACCAAGGTGGGAGTCCACTCCCGCCAACAAACACTATCACTCACATCACAGGGGTTACAAAATTTTACATATGATGCACAACGTACTCGTGAGGCACTAGCTAAATTTTTAGCTAGTGCCGAATTGCCTCTTTCTTTTGCAGATGATGCCTCATTCGAATAATTCATCCAGACAGCCTTTTGCCCACAATTTAAATGGGTAAGTAGAAACACAACTCGTTCTGATTGCATGAAAGTTTTTTATACAATGAGACAATCTCTTGTTGATAATTTTAGGACTTTTAATGCTACTGTCTCTTGCACTTATAATCTATGGGAGGGATGCAATAAAACTGGATATTTATGTGTCACAACGCACTACGTTGATGACGATTGGGTTTTACAAAAAAGAATAATTGGTTTTCATTTATGTCCATATCCTTATAACGCATAATCTACTTTTAGTACAATAATGGAAATTTTTGGGTTTAATGGGATAGAAGATAAAGTTTTAACAATTACTTTTGATAACGTGTCAGCTAATACAGCTGCAATTAATCTGTTTAAACGTAGTTTGAAACTAGCATTTGGATGGGAAATTTTTCATCAACGGTGTGCATGTCACATAATTAATTTAGTAGTTCAGGCAGAAATTGAACATATCTCAGCTAATCTTACAAATATTAGAGAATCATTATCATTCATATCTAGTTCTGGAGCTCGGCTCCAAGAATTCAAATAATATTGCAGGAACAGTCATATGCGGCCAAGAAAGTTTCCAACTGACGTGAGACATAGATGGAATTCAACATATTTAATGTTGAAGGCAGCACTCCTGTATTCGCAGCTTATCACGACATATGTAAACAGTAAGAACGATCAAATTTTAATTTTCGATCCTGATTGGCAGATTGCTGAGTATTTTTTTTTTAAATTTCTAGAAATTTTTTACAATGCTACTAAATTACTTTCTGGAGTTTATTATCCTACTGCACATTTAGCTTTACATCAACTATTTAATATTTCAGAAACATTTTCTTATTATAGGGATACAAAATTTTTTAGAAATATAGTTAAGTTAATGGAAAATAAATTTAAAAGTTATTGGTCAGGTTGTCCTATGTTATATGCATTGGCAACCATTTTAAATCCTAAGTGCGGAGTAGATGAAACTGAATCATTAATGACTGCTACCGCAGAGAATTTAGAAATAGATATGCAACTAAGTATTACTGACGCTAAGAAAATGTTAGAAAAGGTTTTTAGTTTGTATGAAGCAAAATACAACATAGGTCAAAAAGAACAGGGAACTTCATCGTCAACTACCAATTCGGGGCCTAAAAGATCGTCGTGGAGTTTCTTGAAGAAGAAAAAGAAAACGAAATGATCGTCCTCAACACAACCGTCTACGGAACTAGTAAAATATTTTGAAGCAAATTTTATAATCGATAACGACAAACTAGACATCTTACAACCGATCGTTTTCCAACGCTGTCATAATAGCTCGTGACATTCTGACAACTCTAGTGTCAACGGTAGTATCGGAGCAAGCTTTTAACGCAAGCAACTGAATTCTTGACGAGAAGATAAGCATAATGCATCCAGATATCTTGGAGGGGCTAATGTGCGTTAAAGACTGGAAAGATGCCAGAAGATGAAAACAACAATACACAGATGATTCGATGCAAGAATATTTTTCTAACTTAGAAATAACAGAATCTTCTTGAAGCACTTAGGTTTGTAATTTACTATTCCTAGCTACTACGCTCTTTTTTCTTTCGCTAAGGTTTTGTCCCGATCTCCCCACGAGTTTTACTTAGCAAGATTTTTAACGAGGCAGTCATTTATGTGTACTCCTATTACGTTAATTCAATAAAATCTACGTTAATTCAATAAAATCACATATTTTGGGGCATATAATATATTTTTTTAATTAAATTTAAAAAAAAAATACAAGGGCCTAGGCCCAGGCCCAGCCCTGGTCCTTATGGACTAGGGTCACGAGCCTAGACCGGGCCTGAGTTTTTCTTCTCAAGCCTGGCCCAAGCACGGCCCACGCCCTTAATGGGCCTGGTGTCAAGCGTACCATGCCGGCCCGGCATGGCACGTTTGACAACTCTAATCAAGACTAGCTCTTTTAATTAAAAAAGTAAACGTGACTAAAATTATTGGAATTTATTTGTACTGTTTTCCTCATCTTATATTCAAAAGCGTTATTGGTCTGCGAAAACACTTGTTGAACCCTCTGTTTTACAATTCTTTTGTTTTTTTTTGCTAATCGTACAATTCTTTTGTTTGAATCGGCAATGGTAGCTAATAATCAATTCTTATTTGTAACTGAAAAATTAACTATTTTCGTTTTTATTGTATATGTTTTTCGAGAAAGAAAAATGAAAACGTTTTTAAAACAACATTAGCGTAATAAATACAAAAAACGGAAACGAAAATGATTTTTTAGTTTAATGTAAAATGAGAGAGAAATGAAAAACAACTTTTAGTCATTTTTCATTTTTTGTTTTCGTTTTCTTCTCTCTCAAGCAAAGAGAGAAAGAGAAACATTAAGAGAGAGAAGAAAAGAAACATTAATAATTTTTTTACACTGAAAATAATCTCTTAATAAAACTACCAAACACATTTTTAAAAATAATTTATGTCTAAAATTAAAAACGTTTTCATTTTTATTTTCATAAGAAAATAAAATTATTTTAAAACGAGTTCTAAACGCGCCCGATATAATTTAAATTTCAAGAGCACAAAGAAAATAACGTGAGCATGTACGTGTTAGAGGCGATACCATTATTTTTTTTTTAAATGCTTTTTATTTTGATGGAGTTAATCCTAAATGAGCCCCATATAAAGTGACCCACGTGAACCCACTAGTAGAATCTACTTTGTGTCCAATGGAGATTAAACCCAATCTAGACAAATAGAAATGCTAATTCTTTTCCACTCCCGATAAATAAATATTGTTATTTTCAATAGATTTCGTATGTAATTTAGCAAGAATTCCGTTGCCAGCATTCTGGAAGATTTTTTTTTTCTTCCGAGTGTCTTGGACAAATTTACTTGGCAATATAAGCAAAAGACGCCCAGACCTTTAATCAAGCTCTGATTGACTTTGATTTTTTTTAAAAATTTTTTATGATTTATTTGCATTATCTGATAGGATAATTTTTCCCAGAAGAATTTGGTGTAAGGTTAACTGTATGATATGAATTATAATGCTGCCTTTCTTTGACTGTAAGATTATATCGTAATCAAAACTAGACGAAAAAAATCCCAAGAAAATGCAATACTTGTAAGGCTTTTTAATTTGGTATTCTACCAAAAAAAAAAAAACTTTGTCCACTTATCATGACAAATATATATATATATATATAGGGCAGAGAGAGGGAAGAAAATATGATTAGTAGAGCGGTTGAAAAAAAAAAGCAATAATAAATATATATAGTAAAGTGAGTGAACTACGTTCTCCAACTTATTACGAGTCAGCTGAGCTTAAATTGTTGGACTTATAAACCAAGAAAGATCCAGCACCAATGTAATTTGATGCCAATGCCTTTCCAGCCAAAGTGGGTTGAGAAAATGCCAATTGAGAGCGCTCAAGGACAACTCCCAAGCAGAAGCTTTTCCTGTGATGGAAGGAGAGACAACAAAACAGAGAATTCAAACAAAAAAGCGATTGAGATATGCAAAATTGGTCACCTTTGACACATCACAGGATACTTTGCATTTTGAGTTTATATATTAAAAAAAAAAAAGAATAATGACTTACCCTACATTTTGAATGTTCTCAAGAGTATACTTTTGAATTTCAAATTTCTGTCAATTTTGTACTTTCATAGAACTAATAGTTGATCAACCTTAGAAACTGACAAATTTAAGATTTGCAGGATAGATGATCTTGTGACAAAGACTGATTCATGTGTAATACTTAAAGAAACAAAGAAAAAGTTAGAGATAACATTTTCAAGCTAAGTTGCAAAGGGTAATTTGTCAATCAGTGTTTCATTATAAGTTTTAATATAAGCTACAAAGAGTAAATTCTTCTTTGACCTAGAAAAGGTACAAATATAATATGGATTAAAAATTTAAAGGTATAGTTTCAAAAACATCTAAAATAAAAGGATTGCTTTTCTAGTAGACTTAAAATACATGGTATAAAATCATAATATCACTTGAGTATTATGTACCTTAGTCCAGCCACTTTCCGGTTCACTAACAAAAAAGAGAATTAAAAAGTTGATGGGGTTACCTCACTGCATCTAGTAAATAGGTGGCTATGTGTTTTCTTCTATTTGCAGGAGACACCCAAATGGCTCTAATACCACAGACTGCAGGCACTGCTTCCTTCTCACAAAGAATTGTGCCCCTGAGATCCTTATCTGAATGTTTAGTATTGATATCAGAAGGAGCTTTTTTCACAACCTCCCTCTGAAAACTAAAATCACCAAATTGGAGAGTTGTCGGTCTATCTGTTTCTTCTTTTGTGTTAGTTGCATCAGTGCTTTTCTCTGTTGAAATTGAGAGAACTTTGAATGCCTTCTCTATTGGTTCAGCAACTAGGCAGCCAGCAACTCTTTGGGATAAAATGAACAGAAACACCTGCAAGTTCCAAGTGATGCCGAGAAACAATGTAAAAATGTGAAGCTAGTATTTCATAGAGGCAATTGGAGCTCACTGAATTGTCCGATTCATTCAAAACTTTGAAGTACTGTGACATGAGTTTAAATTCGGCAAACAAATCACCAAAGAATTCTTTAAAAGAAAAAATAAAATAAAAGTGTCCAGGGAGAAGTCAAGCACATCATCATGAATTTCACCGAGCTATTTCATCAGCATTTCTTATCTTCAAGATATATTCACATTGATCCATGAATAAGTAATGAACACATGGGACAGTAAAACAGAATTAGCTTACATGTAAGTTAAAATACATGGAGAAAATAATCCACAATACATTGACATAAAAGATTCAAAATTAATCAAATAAAAAGTAGAGCCTATATCACCTTGCACAGCTTATGGAAAATCCATCCACTTCCGAGCTCAACCTCCATCATCTTCACAACTTCCCCAACCTGCAAGCAATATTGTCTCATTCAAAATAAAATCATTGCCATTCATCAAGAATTCACCGTAGGTATTCTATCACCACATATGTGATAAAATAAAACTCGCACATGTTAAAAAGTGCAAACATTGGTCCCACACTATCATGTAACAATTTTAATAGAAATTTTAATAGACTGTCATGTGTGGTGATTGCAACACCAATAATGATAAATAACAATTTTTTAACAACTCGAGAAATAATCAAGTATTTTCCTTTTTGTTTGATAAGTGAAATTCACTTTCCTAACCTTGTTTTTGTGAACAAGGGAGTCACTATCCAACACCATAACAATCCGACCGCTTTCCATGGTGGGCATATGAACAACCCTCTCGTTAGACCAAGCCTGCAAAAATTGAGTTCAAACTTGAACAAATCAAGAACCAAATCAACACAACACAAGTACATTTCACAAGAAAAATTCCACTACTCGTACCTTAAATTGAATTCCATGGGTAAAATCCTTATGAAAAGCCTTGTGAGCCTTCTCATCTTCTTTAGCCCCGGGAGTATACTTAACCCCACATTTGGTACAAGTGTGGAGAAGAAAATCAGACTGGCCTAATTCCAAATGGAATTGAGCGTAACTCCTTTTCTTGTTCTTCACCACTGGTCTTCCCAAAATCGAAGATTCTGGCTTCGAAAAGTGATCATTCAAAACAGTTTTCTTCACCAATTGGCTATTTTCCGTTTTATCTTTTTCAACGCTTTTACCAAATAATAGGAAAATTTATATAATTAGAAACACAATAAGCATAAAAAAATAAAAAGCTGAAATTCTCAAAAGTCCTTGCATAAGAAATTACCTGCTAGGGTTTCGACTTCTGCGACTGTACGTGTTCCAAAACTGATGCTGTTTCTTCTCCCAAACGTCCAGTTCGTCTTCTTCTCCGGTAATCGGCGGCGGCTCCGGCGATTCAATGGCGGCAAAAGAAGAGGAGGATTTGAAGAATGTGCTGATTTTGGACTGCATTTTTGTGCTGCTATAGTATTCTTCTTCCAATTCCATAACCCAAAAGCTTCAAAATGAGATTTATAATGAAACCGGAGTATTGAATCAGTAATCTACAAGACGATTTTCTGGTGCATCGAAACAGAAATTTCTTCCGTACTGATAGAGAGAGAGAGAGAGAGAGTTTCTTTTTCTTGGCAAATTCTGGAGAGAGACAGAGAGAGAGAGATTCTTTCTTCCGTTTCTGATTCGACTTTTCTGAATTTGTTATCATTTTTCATTTGGCGCCAAAATGATTTTTGCAAATTTGGTTTTTTTTTTTTACTTTGTAACAGCCTTCGCGCCTTCATGTATGTCACGACTGCTCACGGGTTTCCCTGTCCTATCTCCATTGGGCCTGTGTTTTGAAATGCTTTCCCGCCATTTTGTTGACGTCTCCCTGTGTGACTGATGATTCTTCACATCTTTCAGAAAAAAATAGATAATTTTTTTTGAGGGTGCATAAATTTAAATTTTTACTCTTTATTATTGATAAATATATTTTTATTAGTATAATTATTTAATTAAAAATATTATAAATTAATAAGAAAGTAAAAATTTTAACCTATACACTTTTAAAATGTTTTTATCAAGATTATCTCATCTTCAATCTCCATCATTCTCTACTGTTTGTTTTGAGGTCCGTGAGATACCAAGAGTATACTTGCAAGACACTGCAATGCTGAAATTAGCAAATAGCAAAGAATATCATATATTTTTGTGTGAGTATAAAGAATAAAATACAATTCTTAAGAGACGTTTGGTTAATGGATTAGAATTATGATATTAGAATAATTTTCGATTTATGTGTATTTTTTGTAAGAGAAAATATTGTAACGAACCATGATTCGAATCGGGATACAAATTCACCAACCAAACAACCCCTTAATTTTTCTATTCATAGGAAAATAGTCAATCAAGAAAAATCTCTTAAATTTATTTTGATTGGTCCACATGAGTAGTCGTCAAGAAACAGAATTTCAAAATTCCTTGTTATTTATGATAAGAAAATTCCTTAATATTATCCTTTTAGTACCTTAATATGTATTTCAACAACGTTAAAGTCGTTATGTTTATTGGGGCCTGACTTCGATAATCATCTTAGACCCATTTGTTTCATATATTAAAATCATTGATTTTGGAAAAGATGAAGAATTTATCCTTGAAAGTGCACGAGTCTGAATTTTTATCCCATTTTGTTAGTGTAGTTATTTGACTAAAAATGTTATGAATCAAGAGTAAATGATAAAAATCCTGACTCATCCACTTTCAACGGATATTTATCAATATTACCATTGATTCTGCTACAATATTTTTCTCTTAACAAAAAATTTGAGATTCAAACATTAAAATAAATGATCATGATTTGAATATACCTTCTATAAGCGCTCCTTGTCTCTTTGGTGAGAGAGTTCATTTTCTTCAAATCATTATGAGAAAACGGTTCCAAAATGTGACTCAATCTTAATATTAAAGTATCGTTCAGTTCGCAGATTCGAGTTGAGATGTGATTTTATATGAGAGTTTTTTATTGTAGTAAAAAAATTAAATGTGACTTTTTGTAAAAAAATTTAATTGTAATAAATTAAAATTAAAAACTCAAATTGATAAAATGAACGAAGCTTAAATGATCATTTTACAAAGCTACTCAACCAAAACTCAAAAAAACTCATGGGGTTGTTCTTTTGTAACAAAACTCAAAAAAAATTTGAACTCGAGTTACAACTTTATTTAAGTTTTTGTTATTTTGTAATTGAGTTTGAACTCAAGTTTGAATTCGAGTTTGAACTCAAGTTTGAGGCTAAACTCGAGTTCAAGTTTCCTCTTCAACTCGAGTTTATAAACTCGAACTCAAGTTAATGAACAATATTTTTTCTATTCTTAAAAATGTGATAACCTTTTCGTTTGAATTCTGATTGAGATGATTTTTTTCTATGCATTCACAACGAAAAGACGAATAAAACTCCACCCATATACTTTATTAAAAATTTTCATCACAATTGAGTTTTTATTAAAATACTATCTAAATACAAATTTAAGTTTTGACTCACCCAAACACAAACTCAAAAAAATTCTCAATTCAAATCATAACTCAAATGTGCACATCCAAATACAAACTCAAATTATAACTTCAACTCAAGTTATAACTCAAACTCAACTCAAAATCATCACTTAAGTTATCTTAACTTAAAAATATAAAAGAACAACCCTACATCTTTCCCGTCAAAGAACAAACAACTAAATAAATAAGTAGCGAGCTATACAAAAACTCATGAAGTACAAGCGACGTAAAGTAGCCACGGCATCTCCCGAAAACGCTAAATCAAGCTAGACATTTTACGACTCTTTTCCTTTGGTCTGTCGTGACGTGAAGCGGATACATACAGAGACATGCCTTGCCGCACAATGATAACCCTCCAAAATGGTGGCCACATAAACTCAATCAGCAAATACATGCAAAGTCCTCCAAACTTATGGCAACCAAAACGTATGCTCGTCCCCAACTACTACTATCCTCGGCTCTAGTTAGGCGATGCCACAATAAAAATACAAGCTACTTGCAATGTACATTCTAGGGGTGTAAATCGGCCGGATAGGGTAAGGTTGAGCCGAAAAATTGAGCCTACCCGACTAGTGCGGGTTGAGAAAATTTTGGGCCGCGACACTCTCTTAAGTCTACAAACCCGCAACCTTTCGGGTGACCTCGGGTAGGGTCCGGTTACTCGGGTTGGTGAAAACCAATTTTAATCTATGACTTCATCAATTTTAATCTAAGAGGCTCTTATATGCAAATAAATGATAAACTACTATTGTAGTAAATGAGCAATAAATGATATATGCAAATACTATTGTAGTAAATAATTACACAACAAAATTGCGGCATAATAAAATATAAAGACTAATAACTCATATCACAATATGCATAAAGCAAGAGTGATCTCAAGGACCACATGATCACTTTTTGGTTAATTAATCTGTGCTTGTTACATAAGAAATCATTATCAAACAGAATATGTTTTTCCTTTAATAGGGGTCTAAATGCAACGTGAACAATTAAAACACTCACTTTAAAATCAAACACTTTCAATATAAATAAAGAATGTCCTAATTCAACAACTATGACATACAAGCATTTTTTACACAAATCGTGAATCCAAAATATAAATAAGTTAACAGTTTAAAAGCATAAAGTCCATAAACTTATGAAAGTATGAATTTGAAGTGTTGAACATTGTTTTACCTACTTTGAACATGTTCGGCCCGGTAGGGTTACCTCGGGTTCATGTAACTCCACCCCGCGCCCCTACCCGCGCAGTGCGGGTTAGGTATAATTTAAACCGAAAATTAAATAAAAAATTAGAAACCCGTGATTTTTGGGTAGGGTCGGCTCGGCTCGGCCGGGTTCGGGGTGATTTCTTACGGCCCTAGTACATTCTCTCAGGTCGTCAGCAGCATCTTGTCCAATGAACTTGTTACAACCTTTAGTTTATCAACTGAGCATTGCACTTTATGCTTTTCCTCGAGGTTCAGTCTGATTTCTTCCGAGGACTGCATTAACAAAGTAGAAGAAATGACGTTAACAGACTTGCTTCTGGTATATCATCCGAGATGACTTCAAAGTTCAAAGCTCAAACCAATTGAAGAGGTTAAGCTAAGCTTGAAAGTGCAAAATCATACCTGTAAACAAACTATTTTCCGAAAAATATCGTGAACATCTTCCTTGAATGAAGAAATAATCCGCAGAATTTTTACGTCCTTGTGCATTGAAAGTAGAACAGAGACAGCAGCATCAATTGTACTTGAACAGTCTTTCGCATTTTGATTCTGATCATGAGGAGACAAAGAACTAAATCGAGTTATCAACGACCCCAAGGCTTGGAGGACGAGCTGCAGTAGCCTGTGACTTTTATCGAACAGCACGAAGCAAGGAATGAGATAGTAATGCCATGTTCTTGAACAAATTGAATTCTCATCACCGTCTTTGGGAATACACTACATTAAAAAGCAGAATATTAGAAAGTCATTGAAAACTATGGCAGGGACCAATAAATGCAACAAAACCAAAGTCATTCACTACTTCGGAAAGGAACGTAATTAACAATAAATGCAGTACAGCGTCACATCACAAGCCCTGAGTTTAAGAGTAGCATAGCATATTACTAGCAGAGTTCCAAACAAATCTAATCTAAACTTTGAAAATGAGATGCCTACTCCACACACACTACAGGATGAAGTACAAATACAATCAAAACAGAGCATATTAAGAAAAGAAAATTGTGCATTAAAAAAGAAAAAAACAAAGTAAGTTTGCTTAAGCACAAGAGATACTTACAAGTGCAATATCAATCAGATATCCAGAGAGCAAATTCCCTAGAGATGTTATACTCTCTTCGTTAAGTCTTGTGGGTTTTGAGTCCAGTGTAGCTAGCAATCGGAGAAGAGCACAGACGTTGTCTAAAGGAGGCCTTAATGTCTGAGATATAAATGAACAATATTGTCAGGGACTTCGCGTTCCAAGGAAATTCTGGGGAACTAATAAATAGTTACGGAGAAGTTAAAAGCGCAGTAAAAAGTGGTATGAATAAAGATTTGTTAAATTGGAAAATAAACTATGTTAGCTGAATTAAGAAAACCAAGGAAAATAACATAAGATATCATATGAAACTTACTATCTGCTCAAGTACTACATTCTCTAGAATCTGGAAAACAAGAGAATTATCACCCATCTGTGATATGTATGAGCAAACAATGCTAATAACTGATTTAAACGTCCCGCGATTTGAGATCTTGGCATCATTCTCCGTAACAGGAAAAATATTATCTGCAGATGTAAAATTGTCTCAACGACTGGACGTAATGTGGTATGAGAAACAAGCAGTTTGTACTTTGTAGTGATTATCTTAATATTAGTGATTATTTAACAAGCAGTATGTCATGCATAAATTAAATACCCATGAATATGGTAAATGAATTTTCCAACCTTCTGTTAATTACAGACAAGCCACTCACAATAGACAATTGAACTTACACATGGAAACACAAAAATTTGACAGGCACCAAAAAAAGAAACAAACATGTATCGGCCACAGAATAGTTCTGATAAGAGATACCAGGAAAAACTCTAAAACGTGAGAGCAAAGTGGTGAAGAAACTAATATGGTCTGCA